TGAAAAGGGAATGCAGGTCAGTCCTGGGCCTCTCTCCGCTCCCGTAAAGTGGGACGGAGACTGGGATCTACGACCACTGCGCATCGGACGCTTGCTGTGTGCCAGGCCCCGCGGAAACGGTGTGTCTGCATTTGTTCACATCACCCTAACCCCAGGCCTATGAGGTTAGGACCGTCATCATCCTCATTTACAGGGAGGAAGCTGGGACTCAGTGGGTTCAGCCACCCAGTCGCGGCGCCATGACTGCTAAGTGGTGACTCTGGGATTTGAATCCCAGAGGCTCAGCCCTTAACCACCAGTCTGGTGTCACCATATGCCCCAGGGAAGGGAAGACATGCAGAGCTGACACCACAGCCAGCTAGGACACGGGATGGTGCTACCACCTCAAGGGAAGGAAGAGGAGAGATGGAGACTTACCTTGCTCACACCTGAGTCCACTGAAGCCGGGGTGGCACCGGCAGGTGTAGTTGTTGATGGTCTCCACACACTCACCATGGCCGCTGCAGGATGTTTGGGTACAGGCAGCTGTGGAAAACATAATTCATGACAAGGAAGGTAAGTTCCTTTGAGATTAGGATCAACGGTGTGCAACAGAGATGTCACCAGTGATACGGAGTGCCAGAGACTGTAACTGAATGTTACGGGACACCAAAGCTGAGTTCTAGGCTTAACTTGTTTTAAACCTTGATGTGAACATACAGGTGTCCAAGGGTACAGCTGCAACTGGCATCAAGAACAGAGAATTCACTTTATCACAAGCTCTAAAGCTCATCCCCCTGCCCTGTGTGTGTGTATGCACACTATGTATGTGGGCTTACCTTCATGTGTGTGTATGTGTGTGTGTGTGTGCGTGTGTGCGTGTGCGTGTGTGTGTGTGTGTGTGTGTGTGTGTGTGTATGTATTCTTGCCTACGGTCACACAAAGAAGCAAAAAGGGATTCTTTACCAGGCAACCAGAATGCCTTAAAACCATATCTTTTAGGACATAAAACCACCACAGGGACCCGTTCCCGCAGACCGCCAGGGACTCGGCGAGATGCCGAGACTGCCCGCGCCGCCGCCCGGCCGCACCTGTGTAGCACAAGGCGAGCTTCTTCTTGCTGCACCGCTCGTCATTCCACTTGCCGGCGTCCTTGTGTCTCCGGATGTAGATCTCCACGCAGTCCTCGTCGCTCTGCTTATTGTTCGGTTCGCCCGGAGCCCAGTTCTGGGCTTCCTCCGTCAGAGGCCTCTGGGTCCCTATCCAGACCCACTGATTGTTGACCTTCCTGATCCCAATCCAGTAGTAACTTGGAGAGTAGTCGAACGTGGCGTTCAGGTGTCGGATCTCCTCCTGGTTTTGAATGGCGACCAGGTGGGTGTACCTCTCCTGACAGTAAGCGCTGGCCTCGTCAAACGTCATGGGCTCCGGGGAAGCGTTGTAAGACCAGGCGTCACCCTCCTCACACAGGAGGAGCGCTAAGGGGGACGGGGTGGAAGGAGGGAGAAAGCTCAGTCCCACTGTGGCCTGCCTCTTAACGGGGCTTTGTATGGTCTCATTTTTGGCAGAGTGACCTTTGGGATGACTCAAACTCTTTTTACCTTTTCCAAAGTAAGAAGGGGTATGGATGGAGAAACTCCCATTTACTGCTTTACCTGCGCTCACCTACCGTAACCTATCAGTAACTTTACAGTGGAGCAGTAATCAGAATAACAGCTTTTTGAGCACCTAATCTGCACCCCAGCACTGTGCCCTCGCAGTGCCTCCTGCATAGGTGTTTGTTTTACGAGCAACACCTCACACGTAAGGAAGCTGAGACGCGGAGGTGAAGGAGGTGGCCCCTAGTCCAGGGCAAAACACATCGTGGGGAGAGGCCAGGGATGCTGCTGAGCATCCTACTGTGCACTGGGTGGCCCCCCACAGGGAAGAATAATATGCTCCAAATTTTCAGTAGTGCCAAGGATGGAGGATGGGGATCCCTGATCCAACTAATGGCACCGACTCACCCAGAATGAGAGCAGAGAGAAGCTGCGAAGCAGTCATGACTCCAGTTCTTCTCATCCGAAGATCCGACTTGAAAGGCTGTTGGGGGGAGGGTACAAAATCAGTTACAGAGTGAATCCCAGGTAACCAGTTACTCACATCGCCCTGCAGTGATGTTTACAGCAGCATGATAAGATTTTAGGTAAAAGATTCCAGTGTCACAGTCTTTATTTCAAAGACGTGTATCTGAATGAATAGATACCAAATTTAAGGTTTTCATCATTTAAGTAAAAAAGAAAAACTAGGTTTTAACTAGTCTGGATACAATGAGAGCCTCCCCACGTCCTTGATCAGAAGGCTTCGTTCATGCCGGTCACCTGAGCGTCATGCCCAAGGCTGCTCTTGTAATGACTTACCATTTCGTATCGAGGTTGGTTCCAAATCCGACTCCTGGAGCGTCTCTGCTGCTTCTGCCTCGTGCTGCTCTTGAACTTCTAGTGCTAAGTCAGCCAAGAACAGCTGAGCACAGCTCCTGCCGGAGTTCCTTTATAGGAGAGCTGGCTTCCTGTGAGTAACGGGAGGGTACAACCAAGCCCTGTGAAGAGGAATTTCCCAGCAGAGTCCTGAAAGTTCCCTGGGAATACCCACAATGCTAAAAATTACAGTGATGTCAGAGACCCTGTCCGTCAAAACCAATTCTTTTTGTGTGTACCTTTTTTATTTTACATGAATTCTATTCACATGCCACAGATGCATAGTTTTTAATTCTAAGAACATAAAACATCTTTAAAAAGTTGAAAAGCTTTGCTGATTAGCAGTATGTCTTCTGTAATTGTGGTTGTCATAGGAATTTTACGAACGTACACAAACTGAGAATAGCGATGTCTCTGGGGACCGCTGTCCTCAGTTTTCTCACCCGAGCTGTCAGCACTGGGTCACCCTCACTTTTCTCCTCTTTCACCTACCACCTCAACCCATTTGGAGGTGCACTGTCTCGCAGAGGCATGAGTCACAAGATTCTGTGCATAGTTATGGCTAAATTACTAGAAATAATAACTCTAACACTTATTTAGAAGATATCTCTAACATTTATTGAATGCTTACTATGTGCCGGGTCTGTTCTGAGTATTTTGCGTGTTCGTCTCTATGATTATTCAATCCTCAACAGCCTATGAAGTGGGTACTGTTATTATCCCCATTTTACAGATGAGGAAATTGAGGCACCAAAGATTTTACTTTTCTCATCCTGAAGCACAGAGCCAAGGGGCTGAAATCCAGGCCGTCAGTCTCTAGAACTGGCTTCCCTAACTGCCACCCCAAACCGTGCCCCACGATGAGCCCCTGTTCTGCCATCCCCTGTCCTCCCCTTGCCCACTTCCTCCAAGAACGACACGGTCATCCCAGCTCTCTGCCAAGAGGGCCGTGCTTCAATTCTGAGGCGCGAAGGCGGGAAGGCGACCCCGTGAGCAGTAGACAGAGAATGCAGTGGGGACGGGCCCCAGGTCCTCAGTGTGTGAGGAGAAGGAGGACAGAGAAGCAACCACGGCCGGCCGAGCTGCACCTAGGACAGGTTGTTGACCTCATGTCACACTTTCTAGGAGATTCTGGTTCATGAGCAAATTCTCTCTGCAGCTGAAGTGCAGAATGATTGCTTTAAATGTGAGCTGACAGAACTCCGGGGAGGGATGAGAGGGCGGAGTGGAAGAGATGTGTGAGCAAAGGTAACTTGTCGTTATTGCTGTTCCCAGAGATATGATATTCCAGACCCACGGGGATCCTACACTCTCCCGGGGGAAGGCCCTGAGGCTGGGCCTGCAGATCAGGTACCCGGGGTCCTGGGAGCTGAGTGGCTTCCTTCAAGCTCTCAGGTTGCTGACAAGGCCACAGACAGATGGATTTCCCTGTCATGGAGGGATGCCAGCGCAGTGGGGGCGCTGACAGCCAACTGTAGCTTCTTCACCTGTGCTTTCCCGTCAGGGCACCCCCTCGCTGGAGACCAGGAATGAGCTGAAGAGGAAATAGGGCGAGAGTTGCGTAGCTGGGAATGTGGAATCTTACCTGCCCTTCCCAAATAAACCTGATTGCCCCCACATAACAGGACAGTTAGAGGTGTCTCGAGGCCCCACTGAGTCTCTGAACCCTTTCAACTCTGGCTTCACGTGGGTCCCTTTACGATGCCCATCCTGGCGCTGGCAAAGAGAAGAGGCGAGAAGACGGAACACACAAGGCCACACCCCAGGCTCCACCACCAGGGCCGTGTGGTCTCTGAGGCACCACACTTCCCGCCTCATCAGCCCCTGTCCTGGAAGTCCCCTGCCCTCCTCCACAGCCTTTAATGGGGCACCAAGGACTGGAACGCTTTCGCTCCTGGGCCCAGACCAGCTCGTTCTCATCGTTGTGGCGAGGGGGCATGCTCGAAGGAGCGACAGAGAGCCAGAAAAGGAACGTTGGTGTTCCTAAGACAAAGGCTACGGTTTCATCCGAGGCCGTCCTGTACACTATCAGTATCCAGGAGATCGTTTGGTTTAACGGGAAGTGGCCCCAGCCATGCCCACATGGGTCAAGACCACTGCCGAGGCATGAATTTCACTTTGCTTCCTCACTGCTGACGGGGGCGAAGCGGCCACCTCTGGCTTTCCCGAGGCCCTTGGTTTCCTCGTCTCTGGGCAATGTCGCTGGGCACTTCTTTTTTGAAAACCGGGGTTACCTGCTGCCCAAATTCTCCTCTGCTAACATCTGAAGTACTTCTGCAAAGTGTAAGGTAGGGAGAGGATATCCCAGTAAAGATTTAATTCTATCTGCAGAATATAAATGCACACCCAAAATTGTGAAATAGAGTTTCTATCAGTGTACCATCCCAGTGTGGAATGGCGTTCCTTGTTTGATCAAAACATATGCGTTTTGTTTGGAAAACTGGTCTGGTTCCCTCTAGATCCATCCCAGAGGGAAGGCTTGTTCACTCGTTTGGGATTTGTAGACATCTTAGGACATCTGAGTCAGGTAGGCATCATGGGCACTGTCCCTGGCTTTGTTCCCACCCCCGGGGAAAAGGATGGCGTTCTCAGATCTCTCTTATATGAAGAAGACTCACCGGGTAGCTCGTTTAAAACGCCATCTTCTGGTCCAACACCCAGAGACTCTGACTCAGTAGGTCTGGGCTGGGGTCCAGGCATCAGCACTGTAAATGAATATCTCAGGTGATTCGGAGACGGATGCCCATATCGTACCACATGTTGAGATATGTTGGCCCAGCACCACCCAGTTTGGGAGAGACTAGTCAGAAGCCCCAGTGGCTGCTGCTCTGCTATAGGTACCAGGATTTGGGTCCAAATGTCACTGCACTTAATCCCAACACCCTCTCTACTGGAAGGCTAGAGGCCCCACTGGTAACAGTGCTGGGCAAACATAAGGAATATTTAGGGTGAGTGGGTATTTTGAATTCTTATATATGGATAGTAAATGGTTTTTAGCCAAGGAAAGAATGGCTACTAAAGAAGTAACATAGGTGTGTATATATTAGGTTATTCTTTTTTCTCCTCCGATTTAAAAAGACCCTGTAATCCTGCTAATTCCCCTTTCTAAACTTTCTAGATGATACTAAAACTTATAATTTTGATGTGTTTCCTTGCTTCCTACTTGGCAGAATCTTATCTTGAAGCTTCCGTTTTGCGTTTTGGGATCTAAGAATTAACTAATAGGAATATCTTCAAAATGAGCCAAGTCTGGTGAATTCCCAGAGCGGAAGAAACAAGTAGGGGCGGGCTGGATTGACAGAGCTTTTCCTGAATGTAGCCAGACTGTTTGCCGACAGTCGTAACTGTCAAATCCAGGGGGAAAATGCCCCTGGATTTGAGTGAAGCCCCCTTGCTTGTTTTCCTTGGCCGCCGATGCTGCTTGTTTTGTAAGTCAGAAGTTTCCTGAAGGACTATTGTTAGCTCTGTGCTAGGTGCCTCACAGCAGAAAAATCCTGGTGGTCACTTTTTGAATAATAGGAGATTGCTGTGTTATACTCCTTGGCTCTGTGCCTTGGAGTAAAGCTTCTTTGCCTTTTCAAGTCTCAGATTTCCCATCTAAGAACCAAAGATGCTCGACCATAGTCTCTGCAGCTGTAGCATATTATAACATTATGTATAAATATCGGACAATATCCTGCTGGTTTCAATCCAAGTGTTCATTATTTTCCTTGCTGTGAAATTTTTAGCTAATCGTTAATAATAATACCATATACAGAGTGCCTACTGTGCATCAAGCGCTTTCCATTCATTACTTCATACGAATTTCACCAAATGAAAGGTGGACATTAATTCCATTTTTTATAGGATGAAACACAGAGGATAAGTACCTTGCCTGTGTTTTTTTTCCCGCTGACAAGTGGTTGAGCAGGGATTCAGATCCGTGTCCGTATTTCTAAAGCTTCTAGGATGACTCCATGCCTGTTAGGATGGAAACTTAGGCAGGGAAGCATACCTGAGCTTCTGCATGGAAGAAAAAAGGTTCCAGCAACCTCCTTGGCTTCTCGCAGCCCCACCCTGACCTGTGGGCTCAACGTCCTAGGCTGGGTTCCTTCTGAAGCAGACCCTGTGACAAGCACGTGGCTGCAAGTCTCTTATTTGGGAGTTGAGTGAGGAAGTGAGAAGGAAAACCAAGGAACGAATGAAGGGTGTGCTGATAAGCGGGTTACCCCCGTGGGAGCAGGGACGCAGAGAGAGCTGGGGGGTGTATCCACCAACTGCGGTCAGTCACGGCGGAGGGCTCCGCACACAGATCCCAGAGTCAGAGAAGGCCCTCCACAAAGGGTCACGGGGGCTTACAGTGGGATCTGACTGAGGTTTCCAAACACAGATCTGTATGCTGTGCTGGGACGAGATAGATATGTTAGTTTTCTATCACTGCGGTAACAAATTATTACAAATTTAATGCCTGAAAACGAGCCAAGTTATTTCATAGTTTCCGTGGGTTGGAAGTACAGGGGACCCAGCTGGTTTCTCTGCACTGGGTTTCACATTGCCAAATTCAAGGCGTCAGCCAGCTGGGCTCTTCTTGAGAGATTCTGAAAAGAA